GTTTAAGCCACTCCACCATCAATAATTGACTTGGGAAAAGGTAACCCACTCTGAAAGATACATGGTACACATAGCTCACCTGAACAGGAATACTAAGATGAGGGAGATAAGGAGACCTGAGACTTCACCAAATCTAGAGATTGTGGTGAGATTTTGATATATTTATCTATTAGGATCAAAACAAAATGAAGGGGGTTTTAGTGGGTATCAAGGGTTAATGGGCTTTAAATGGGTCCTGAAAGTTAGCAAAGCATCTTTAAACTGCCCTGAAGCTGGTCCTCACAAAAAATATATGGTGGAAAAAAATAAAAAAAAATCAAATGCACTAAAAAGGAAAAGTAAACACAAATAAAGTATACTCAACTATCCTAAAAACACCAAAAAGTCAGTGAATTTCAAAAAGTCAGTTTTGCTTCATCAATTTCCAATCATCCCTAGACAAAAAGAGTGAAAAATTCCTCATCCTTTAAAGGAAGTGATTAGAAATGATCATCATGGGGACACAAACAGCAATAAAATTCCATCAATGCTTCAAACCCTTCCCCACGCTATACAAAATTAAAAACAAAAAAACTTTTGGCTCGAGCTAAGCTTTAATTTATGCAAAACACTCAAAAGTTGTTAATTCTTCTTGACTATTGCTTTGTAATAGCTTCAGAATCTAAAAGTAGTATTCACAATACACAATTCTTTGCTTCAGTTCTTTACACAGTGGGTTTTTATGTTAGATTGCAATCTATTTCTTTTTAACAAGAATAGTCCTTGGTCCCATGGGTGCCTTTGACATATTTTTGCTAGAATGCAAACTCAATCTTTGTAAGCATATTTCATTAGATAACATTTCTGTCAGGGGATACACGCAAAGAGGCCATCTCAGGACACACAAGAGAGTATTCAGACACAGTCTGTGTGCATTTTCTGAAGATGAGACTTATTCTCACACAAGAGACACACAGATTTACACATAGAATTAAATCAATCAGTTCTGGGCAGTCCTTGCACGTCAAAGGAGAATGAAAAATATGTTTTTCAGGGAATATTTTATGACACTTTTAACAGGAAGAGCTGTATCTTGTACTCAGGGAAAACATTGTCTCTCCATATGGGCCCCAGTCTTGAGATTTCCTGTTTAATTCCTTGACTACAAATATGCTAAGCATCATGCTCTTGGAATAGCACTAGCACAATATTTGCAAAACTGAAAAACTGACACATCTATCAAACCAGAGTATGGTGTTTTTGTATTAATAGTTTAATGAATCAGTTCTCACAAAAATGTTAATAATACTGAATGAAACACATTTTGAAAAAGATTTTCTCCCATGTATCCACACAAAATGTGTCCCTTTTTCTATGATTGATTAATTTTGGTCAACTTTATTTTATATTATTTTAAGTTTATACGAGAGGCATTCAAGTCAGAACTAGGACTTTTAATATTACAGGTATAAAAAAGGATGCTAGCACGGTGGTACTACATGCAGTAGTAAGTGGCACGTGAGTCCTATTAGCCCTGATTCACATCTATGCGGTTGCGATTTGTGTGGGCACGAGAGCCCATTCATTTGAATGGACTCCCGTGCCCTAGGACATGCAGGGAAGAAGTCCCTGAACTACTTTTGAAATCGCAACCCGCACCGATGATCCAAGTATGGTTGCGATTTCCAGTGCGGGTGGCATGCCATTAGAAATAATGGCACTCATCTGCGAGTCCTGCATTCCTCTGTGTGGGTGGTGCTGCTGCAGGTATTTGTGCAGATCCCGCAGCAGCACCACCCGCTCAGATGTGAACCAGATGTTACTGATGGTGGCGCACATGTCGCAGGCCAGTCCAGAGATCATTAATCAAGATGGCAGACAACAGTGTTAATGAATGCATTAAACAGCGTGTGGTGATGAAGTTTCTTGTGATCAAAGGCATAAAACCCACAGATATCTACAGAAGACTTCAAAGCACAGTACGGTGAAGAGACACTCAGCATCAAAACATTTGAATGGTGTAAATGTTTCAAAGAGGGCCGCACGTCCATCAGTAATGATCCCGGCCGTGGTGCTTCTCAGCCCACAGCAGTCATTCCTGTGAACAATCACACAATGATGACGTGGTGAAGAAGGCTGTCCTAGGATGGTTCAGGCGTGCTAGCAAATCTTTTTATGCCAAAGCTTTCTAGGCATAAGTTAAATGTATTAATGTAACAAGGGAGTATGTCGAAAAATAAATGCAGTTTCCACTCCTTGAAATTTGCTTTCTTATTATATAACCCTAAAAGCTCTGGTTTGACTTGAACGCCCCTTGTATGTTTTAAATCTAATGTTTTATGTCTTTTTTTCTTTTTTTTTATTATTTATATCAAATGTTTTCTTTGCAAAGAAACATTTAAAGTATATGTAAACCCAATCACTAAAATTTCATAAAAGTTTTATCATGCTAATTTAGTTAAAAGAGTAATAATTATGCAACTTTTATTAAAATAATGCTTGGTTCTTGGTTGGACTTCTTTTAAAGGCTCTATCCTTGTCTCCCAATTGTGCTCCACTCATGTGGTTTCTGACAGTTGTTTGAAAACATATAATGCTGGTATGATGTCACCATCAGGACACCTAGCCTTTGAAAGACCATGTAGCCATTGCTGAAGTGGTATGGCTCCAAAGAGGCGGGGAAAAATCATTAGAGATTAGATACAAAAAAGATGGAAAAGTGTTTTTTTATTTAAAAAAAAAACCCAGTTGCTTAATACACAACATTGCTTTAGCAAACTAAATGTAATTTATTTAGGGTTTTCATCTGCTTTATTGCACAGCTCCAGCTTTTTTTTTTTAAACAAGAAAGTGAGGTCCAAGTGGTATAAAAATAAAATAATGCAATACTCACCTTCAATCTGTAGAACTGCCTCTTAAAGTATATGTCGCCAGCATTTCAGCTACCAGATTGCTGTAAGCCATCATGTATAGATGAATCAGAGTGACTTGCGAGCCACAGATGTGATAATTACCGGAGGATCGCAAACATGAAACACATAACTACAACTGTGTTGGAAATATCTACAAATATATGTTGCGCTCCTAAATACTTCCCAATAAATAATAATTCAATTATTCCCATTAAATTAATTCAAATTATGATACAAATAACTAATAAAAGTGTATAAATACCAAAAAATATTTAAATAGATAGTTTCAACTAATCAATCTCCTCCAAATAAATATCAAAATAATTCCACATAAAATACTCCTCTAAAAAAATATTTTACCAAGTGCTCATAAATCATCTATTAGTGACATGATGTACTTACTAATACCCTCAATTTCATTTATATTCATAATACCCTCATTTAATATAAAAAAATAGTAAACCAACTAATAACCTTCAACTAAAACGCATTTAAATGATCCCCCATAAATAAAAATAACCAAATGCTCATAAATAATTAATAGTGATTAGTATGAATAAAAATATCATCAAAATAATAGTCCCATTGAATAAACAATTGTTTATATATAGTGACTTGGTGCTTGTTCTTCAATTTGTGACTTTTGTGAATCCTTCAAATAGTGAAGATGTGCACTCACCTCCTTTGATGCCTGCAATTAGGCTATACACACTTTCGGTTCACTTTCCCTGGAACCTGCTAGACATATACTTTTGCTGGTGAAATAGGGAGATCCTTCCTTTAGGAGTAATGGATGTATCCTCTGGTGGCTGATTATCCCCTCAGGGATTACACACTCCTTTTGTTATCCCAGACCTCCTAATTATCCTCTCCTTGTGTTGTGTTATCCTCTCCTTCTGGCCCTGGGGAAGGGGGGGGGGGTTATCTGGTCCAGTAATTAAAGTCATTACCATATATCAAAAAAGTACTCCTGAACAGAGAAAAATTTTATGTGCGTGCTGCCCTGTCCAGGACTAAGGACGAGTCACCATTGCTTTGGGATTAACAGAAGAAGGCCTGTGTATACTTCAGGAAAAAAGGTAAGAATTATGTTTTTTTTATGTGGAGTTAGTGGTGGAGAGTTCAGGGAGAGGTGTTGATAGTGGAGCTTTAAACTGTTACTAAACCCAAGACTCTGCATTCAATATATCTGGTCTCCCACAGTACACAGAACATGGTAGTGCAATTATTTTAGTAAACATAAACTGCTAAATACCTTTTCTCATCAGCAGTAAGAGCAGTCTTGTGACTTCAGCAGAACACTGGTTAAAGCTTGTAGGAGGAGTTTTCATTCTACTCTAGGAGGATGCAAAACCCCTGACCTCCGTCTGGACAGTGCTGATTGGCCCTGTGCTTATCACATGCACTCTCCAAAGAAAAAAAACAACTCTCTAGCAATACACACTAAACTGAGCAAGTGCAGAAGGGCTACGGGTTCAGTCTGTGTTATCAGCGTGGACATTTGAACAAGAGGAGGGGCAGTCAGGATCAAACAGCCTTTTTGCACAATGCAGAGTATAAACCCCTTAGGTTCCACAGTGAGTAGAACAAGCATGCTTTACTGCATCTTCAGATTTTACTGTTGTGGGTTTAACCTCCCTGGCGGTATGATTATTTCAGATTTTTGGTGCTGAAAGCGGTACCCTTTTTTTGCATGGAAATATGTATTTTTTTAATTGTAGGCCTGTAATTTTTAGGAAAAACTCACTGAAATCTGTCCGAACAAGAGTCTAGTAAACATCCCGGGTATCATAAAATTTGAAACACAAAATCATAAATTATAATTTAATAAATAATCATAAAAATAATATAAAAATAATAAAAAATTTAATTCAATAATATAATCAAACCAAAAACACTGAAATTTGAAATATAGCGCCAAGTTCGCACATTGCTGAGCAAAGTCGCAAAATCGTTTTCAGTGTCTGATGACGAATTTCCCCCACGAATCATTATCACTCAATTCTGCAAGTGGTTCTGATTTACTATCGCTGTTCTCTAGCTGATCTAAACCACTTTTGACCTAAAGGGACACTTTTTGGACGCCATGGACGTTTCTCAGTTTCCAGGCAGAAAGAACAGACAAAATGCAGGCAGGGCGCCGGACAAAGCACTAGGGACAAAATGTATGTGAAATTGGTTGAGACAGCAATGTTTTACTACGTAAAATGTAAAAAAAAAAAAAATGACATTTTTTTTAAATTTTTAAATTTCCCGCCTCCTGCGGCGCCCGTATGTCCCGACGTCACAGGGACAGGACACAGAAGCCGGATGCTGGCATCAGCCGGAGGAGATGGCCGGGGACGCTGCAGGGGACACATCGTGGGAGCGCAGGGTAAGGTAAGTGAAGAACACATGCCGGAGCAGTGCCGCATGGTATTCCCGAGTGTAGCTCGGGGTTACCGTTTGTGGTACTGAAATGTTACCCCGAGCTACACTCGGGAATATCGCCAAGGAGGTTAATAACACTTTAAACACTCATATCTAGTGTATAAGACAATGCAGTTGTTTTCTTTAGTATACTTGTTCTCTGCTTGAATGTGTACAGGAATGCTAGCAAAATGCAACTAATTAAACATGATATGTTACTAGATCAAGATTAAACAATAATGTACACAGTATAGGGAGGGAGAGAGGTGTTATCAAGACAAGAGCAGTTTAAGGCTTTATTCACACTGCATCAACATTGGAGAAATAATGAAACACTTGCTGAATGCCGAAGGAATTTGCTGAATATTTGTAAGGAATTTGCTGAGAATTTCCCTGGTGTTTAGCAGGTATTTGATAAAACGTTAAAACATTCTGTGGCAATGGAAAAAAAAATCCTCTTCTTCTACAAAGGTTAAAGAAAGGCATTCTGAGTTAGAAAAAGCGAATTTATATTGCAATCTTGTAAGGTCATAATTAGTGCCAGATTTCCATTACTGGAACCTGTTGGCACACAACTTTTGGATGTAAAGGAACTGCCATCTGTTAAGATCACCTCTTCACAAATCATTTTCTTGTTGCTCTAGTCAGATCCTGGTATACAATTAGATGATTATTTGTAAATTAATTTATATGAGATGAATTTACTTGTACAGATGATGGAGTAAAATGTGTGGCTCATAGCTAAACTGCGAAAAATAGGCATAAGCTTACAGTGGCTTTACACTGACAGGGAGGCTGAATGAAATCAATCTAATAGATATCTAACAGATTCTGTATAGATACAGAATTTAGACAGCATGGACAGATAAATCCCTTGCTGGACTACTGTATTCTGCCAGACTCCGGAGGGACTGTGAGAATGCCCATACAGCTAAGAGCATGCATGAGTTTCCAGAGCTTCTCTACGTTTAGAAGAACATAAAAAACTGCACTCTTACGGATACCAAAAAAGATAAGCTTTTGACAGTGAATGATTCTTCTGTAGAAGCTTGTGTGGCAGACGTAGCCCCAGAGATGGACACGATTCAACCATTTTGGCTTCAACCTCCATCTTGGCCAAAGGGTTAACTATCCTGACAAACATAGTTCCCCCTCATTCCCCTCTTTCCCTCTCTGTTAATTCACAGGGACATATGTGTGTTGAAAGTGTCACAGGAGGCCAGAGCCCAGCAGGGGGCTATGTGCTATAAAATCCCCAAAGGAGCTGGGGTCTGACTGTCTGAGCAACCTGTGCCATTTAACACCTCGTAAAAAGATAACACAGCCTTCCCAGGAGTTCAAAAGACATTGAACCAGATAACTTTTTTAAAAGATCCATTTTTCCCCTATGTCTCATATCTTGGAATATGAGAGACTTACATAAAAACCAGACATATCGTCAGATTGGCTAAGAGGAGCAGAACAGTTTGATAGGTCACTCGCCTTGTCTCGAATACATAGGAAAGCAGAAAAGTAGATCTCATGAACCGATCAGTGTATAATTTCATAATTCATATCTAATCAATCCTCAGACGTGTCTGCATAATAATCTACCCACGGGTGGAATGTCACTTGTGCAGATGGAAAGTTATGGGCCAAAATATGAGTTACGAGAGGTTTTGGCTCTAGTTGAGGTACCCGCCCAGACCTCCACGCCCTAAACGGGGTATTGGTCCTTGACTTCAGAGACACCCCCTGCTGGGGAACTAAAAATTGGGCTGTCAAGTCTAAGAAGAAAAAGTTGAAGACGTCTCCCATTTTAACATTAGTACCACCTGGGGAGACACGTGCCCTTTCACTCTGAAATGTGGATCTGCTAACCCAGGACTTTGGCAAGTACCTTAACCCTTTCACCTCTCTCTGATATCTCTTTGCTGTGCTGTTGGTCTCTGTATATTTATATATATATCCTAGTTACATCTTTTTCTGTAAATATTTTTATTGCACCCATTTGACCTTTTAGTAATAAATCTTTCCTTCTGAAAGTATTGAACTGTTTCTATAGCGCTTTATTGCAATTTACGAATTCCTGCCTCTAAAAGAGACACTACTGTGTTTGTTTAACCCTCTGTGTAACCGGCCTGCGGAGACCGTTTTATACAAACGATCATCTCAACCATTATAGTGTTATAGCTGATATCACCAAGTTTCCTCTTTCTCTGTACAAAAAGGAGGTGGTGGCAGTGTGAAGGGTTAATTGGGTAATTAACCTGACCCAGTATCAATTGCATTCAGGCTGCCGGTGCATTGATTGTGGTCCAATTAGCTGGAAAATCGTTGTGCAGGGTGCAGCTGAGTGTGGCATTGTTACGCACGTGACAGCGTGGTTTTAGATTGGCTAGTCCTTCGGTCACGAGTTTGGTGAGAAGGGCTGGGGTCTGACGCCGCGTTCGTGACAGCTTCGACTATTATAAAACATTGGGGTGCATTTAAAGTTGAACACTCCTACTTTGGATTTTCTGTTGCACAGTACATACAGTATTTCAGCAATTCCTAGAAACCTTTTTTCTGGTATCCCTAGTTTTGTATTATACTTATACAAGAATTTCCAGTCATGGGCAAATGTGACATTATGCTGCTTAAACTTCAAAACACTTGATTCTTTTCAGAAGGTTACTACAGAGCTCATTGTACCTCTGACCCACTGTTGCTCTTTTTGCCAGTGCTGAGCTTAGAAATATTCTCCCAAAATGCAAATAAGCATTGGTTGCCTCCTACTGCTACATGACATTTGTAAAACAGAACGCTGTGCAAATTGGCAAAAATAAGCATTATTTATTTATTACAGACATATACTGGCATATAGAATAGACAATTTCTCAGATCTCAATGGGGAAAAATATCATGCTGGATATCTATACTGATATGGACTGGATAATGTGTTAAAAATGTAAGGATGCGCCATTGTTTGATGGAAATTAAAGTTATCAACCTACAGAGGACTGAATTCAAAGACACCCCGAACGTCTAAGTGAAAAAATGATGCAGCAGACTAATACATTTTGCTGAAATTTCATTGCAGCAACTCAAAATAGTACTCAGTAGTTTGTATGGCACCCACGTGCTCGTATGCATGCCTGACAACTTTGGGGCATGCTCCTAATGAAACACACGGTGTCCTGGGGTATTTCCTCCCAGATCTGGACCAGGGCATCACTGAGCTCCTGGACAGTCTGAGGTGCAACCTGGTGGCGTCAGATGGACCAAACATGATATCTCAGAGGAGTTCTATTGGTTTAGGTCAGGTGAGCATGGGGGCCATTCAATAGTATCAATTCCTTCATCCTCCAGAACCTGTCTACACACTCTTACCACATGAGGCTGGGCTTTGTTGTGCACCAGGAGGAACCAAGTACCCACTGCACCAGTGTACGGTCTGACCATGGGTTCAAGGATTTCATCCCGATACCTAATGACAGTCAGGGTGCCACTGTCTAGCCTGTAGAGGTTCGTACATCCCTCCATGGATATGCCTTCCCAGATCATCACTGACCCACCACCAAAACGGTCATGCTGAATGATGTTACAGGCAGCATAATGTTCTACATGGCTTTTCCAGACCCTTTCACGTCTGTCACATGTGCTGAGGGTGAACGTGCTCTCATCTGTGAAAAGCACAGGGCACCAGTGGTAAACCTGCCAATTCTGGTGTTCAATGGCAAATGCCACACACGAGCTCTACGGTGCCGAGCAGTGAGCACAGGGCCCACTAGAGGACGTCGGGCCCTCAGGCCACCCTCATGAAGTCTGTTTGGTCAGAGTCATTCACACCAGTAGCCTGCTGGAAGTCAGTTTGTAGAGCTTTGGCAGTGCTCATCCTGTTCCTCCTTGCACAAAGGAGCAGATACCAGTCCTGCTGATGGGTTAAGGACTTTCTACGGCCCTGTCTAGCTCTCCTAGAGTAACTGCCTGTCTCCTGGAATCTCTTCCATGGTCTTGAGACTGTGCTGAGAGACACAGCAAACCTTCTGGCAATGGAACGTATTGATTTGCCATCTTGGAGGAGTTGGACTGCCTGCGCAACCTCTGTAGGGTTTAGGTATTGCCTCATGCTGCCAGTAGTGGCACTAACCCTAGCCAAATGCAAAACTAGCTCCCTCTCCACTGGCACTCCAGTGAGCTCTGGAGCGGCAGGGCAGAGAACCAGTGACTGACAGTTCCTGGCCCCCTGTTCAGAGCAGAGGGGGAGAACTGAGTTATCGGCAGTGTTTGATCACCAGAGGCCAGCAGGGGCAGATACAGCATCAGATCAATGCTGCATCCACGTAGGTGAATATAATTTTTTTCTCTACAAGCCCATACTTCTATTTTAAAAAATATAAGTTAGAGTACAATATTTCACAGAAAAAATCCAGAAATACTGGACAGACTTGATGCACACTACGTAAGTAGCTTTAGTAGGCCGTAGTTTATGTGAAAGACACCAGGCAGGCAGAAATCAACATTTCACTGAAAAAAGGCAGAAAAAGTGTTCGGTCCATGCACACTATGTAAAAGTGGTTGTATAGATTTAGGTTTTATTACCTTAATGAATAATATGCATTAAGGTAAAAAAAAACCCTGTGCTGCATGTGTTCCCCCAGCTTACTCCTCCCTGCACAGATCAATAGCAGCGGCAGCCAGTGGCTTCCGCTTCTGTCAAGCAAATTCTGTGACGAGTGAGCGGGGGGGTTGGGAAGAGCTGCCCTGTCTGTGTCAATGGAAGCGGACAAGGTGGCTTGAGATGAGCGAGCCCACAAGTGTCCCCATCGGAATAAGCTTCCTATGGGGGAACTTGCCGAAGAGGAGGAGCACCAGTGGGTATGATATGTTTGTTATTTTAAAATAAAAAAATAATACACTGTGACACTCAGCTCCAGGGAATGAATCTGGGGATGCCTGTTTCTTAGGGACAGACTACTCACAACAAGGACTGACTGCAGGAACAGGAATGAATGGTAAACTTACCATGTGAGATGCCTTGGTAAGATGTAGTTTCACAGGGGCACAAAAGACAGGTTTATAATTAAGAA